TAATCGTACATTAGGATATCCTGTAATATGATATACAAAACATTTCAAGAAATCACGCGCATGCACGTGTGCTGCAATCTGATTGGCTGAAACTTTAAAAGGCTATATCTCCTTTGTTTCTTGACGAAATGCTTTGAAATTTAGAAAATAGTCATACATTAGAATAAACTGTAATATGATATACAAAACATTTCAAGAAATAACGCACATGCACGTGTGCTGCAATCTGATTGGCTGAAACTTTAAAAGGCTATATCTCCTTTGTTTCTTGACGAAATAATTTGAAATTTAAAACATAGTCATACATTAGGATATCATGTAATATGATATACAAAACATTTCAAGAAATAACGCGCATGCACGTGTGCTGCAATCTGATTGGCTGAAACTTTAAATGGCTATATCTCCTTTGTTTTTTGACGAAATGCTTTGAAATTTAAAACATAGTCATGCATTAGGATATCCTACAATATGATATAGAAAAAAATTCATGAAATCACGCGGATGCACGTTTGCTGCAATCTGATTGGCTGAAACTTGAAATGGCTATAACTCCCTTGTTTTTCAACCAAACAGGATGGGATTTAGAACATAGATGAATATAAAAAACTCCTACAAGAAGGTATGGTCATCATGCACGTGCACGCACGTGCGTGCATTGGGAACAGGTGAAATTAAAAATACACTTAAATGAGTGATTTTTAATACTTTTGGACTGAATGCTTTAATATATAGTATATCAAAATATATAGATAGTGTAGACAAGATGATATGGTCATAACGCACATGCATTTACATGCGATGCTAAAATTTGAATATAATTGATATCCTTCTGGGAAAACGTTGTTAAAGTCTAAAATGCATAGATTTTGTCTTTTTTAATGAAGCTTACAGGGAATATGGCACCAAAAGGGAGTAGGGGAGCGTTTGGGGAACATCTGTAACGGTTCCCGTTACAATTAGCACTAGTTAAGGTCTTCCGTCTCCAACGGAAGACCTTCTTGTTTTCGTTCGGTTTCTTTTTCCCTATTATTATTATTATTCTTCCAACCGATTTTGTGCAAGTGATTTCTCAGAGATGGCTAGTCCGATTTCTACCAAACTTTCAGATCTGAAAGATATTCAATTGATCTTGATAGGTTTTTTTCCTTTTTGATTATCTCACTTCCGGTCGTGAGATATGGACGATTTTCTGATTTTCAGAGGGTCGGCTTGTCCGGGGAACTCCTCCGAAACGACTAAAGATATGGACTCGAGATTTTCAGGGAAAATAGAGGAAGGTTTGGTGAGTTGTAATTGCGTCTCCAAATCTTTCTAGCGCAAAAGGCACCGAAGTTCGGTAGGGCCGAAAAAATGTCTCAGAAATATCTCACAAAATTTGACGCATTTTGTCTCATATCTTCACACCTGTTCATAATTTGTTAAAACATTTTGAAGACAAAATGTGCAACATCGCAAGACCTTTCATTTGATATAAAAAAAATAGGGCTGACCCTTCAAATTAGGGGCTAAGAGGGGCCAAAAGTCTTTTATCTATAACCCTCTAATGATCAATATTTTGTTATACATTATTGAGCAAAAGTATTCATCTTAACTATTTGATGCTTACTATCTAAGTTGTTTGAAAATTGGCTTATCTAAATTCTAGATATTAATATTTGAAAATCTGAAGCGGGCCCCAGATGGCGGCTGTCTTTGTCAATTCCGCCATTTCGCAATTGGGGTTTATGGAGGCAGCTGAGCGTTTGATTAAACCATTCTGACATACGAATGCATGAAATGTAAACAAAACTACTTGGACTTTCACGTAGTAGTACGTTGCAATTCAGTGTCAATCTTAACACTTAATTTCCGTTTCACTACTTAAGTTTAACTGGGCTAGATACGATATATGTAATGTGTACAAAGACTTTTTAAACGTCGAAATAAAATAAAGGCGATAAGAACGTTTTATTTATTTTATTTCATTGCAGCTATCACACCAATTGAATAGATAAGTTCAAAGAAAATGCGCGAACATTTACTCCTGGCGTTTGGCGCAAATTATTAATAGTGACCCGCCTTTTATGATTCTTAGACAGGTGTACTGTTGCAAAAGTATACACACAAGTATATTTAGAGCAGTACTCCCAAAAGCTTAATGGTTTGCGCGTTGGGGATAAAACAGAAAAAGGCGACATGGGTTCAATCCTCTTTGCGACCAAAATTTTGAATCTTTTTCTGTGATATTCATGGCTAAGTAAAGCCCCCTATTTGCTGATTTAACGTATAATCAGTTTCTTGATTTGATAAAGAAGAAATTAAATATCTTTGAATGTCTTAGAACTTTCGCAAGCCTAGGTTCAACGTTTTTTTAAACACTAAAAAATATTCATTTCATTTTCTCATAAATAGGCTGCGCGGATAATGCACATGGTGCCAATGTGCAGGTAAGGTCATCCCCGTGATGGGGAATGGACCTGTAGAAAACCTTCTCTGGTTCTGCAGAGTCGAGTTTTTAGCAAATAAAATGTATGAAAATGCGCGAATAATTACTCCTGGCGTTTGGCGCAAATTATTAATAGTGACCCGCCTTTTATGATTCTTAGACAGGTGTACTGTTGCAAAAGTATACACACAAGTATATTTAGAGCAGTACTCCCAAAAGCTTAATGGTTTGCGCGTTGGGGATAAAACAGAAAAAGGCGACATGGGTTCAATCCTATTTGCGACCAAAATTTTGAATCACTTTTCAGCTCGATTTTACGAGATTTTTTTTCCTGAATCGGACGGAAGACCTCTCGTTGCTAGCAACGAGATCGTTTCTAGTTCTTATTATTTTTCTTCCTGGGAAAATTTTGTCCGCGAGTGATCTTGTAAACTACACATAAGACTAAGGTGAAATGTTTTTAGGGTCAGTAGACATGTAATGTAGATTTGCGGAACGAAGGTCATTTTGCGCGCACGTGCTTGCAAGAGCGCGCACGTGCAACATGATAAATGACAGATTTAATTGATAAAGATGTAACTTTTTAAATTTTTGATGAAATGCTTTAGAACTCATAATATAAGGATACATTAGTAGCATAGACAATATGACATGGTCAAAATAGCAAGATCTCACGCGCATGCACGTGCGCTGCACTCTGATTGGCTGAAACAAAAATCTCAATATCTTTTTTGTTTTTTGATGAAATGCTTTGAAATTTTGAAAATAGCCATGCATTAGGATATCCTAAAATATGATATATAGCAATTATCATGAAAACACGTGCATGCACGTGCGCTGCAATCTGATTGGCTTAAACTTTAAATGGCTATAACTCATTTGGTTTTCAACCAAAGAGGATGGGATTTGAAACATAGATAGATATAATGAACTACTACAAGAAGGTTTGGTCAACATGCACATGGATACACGTGCGTGTACGTGCGCTGCAATCTGATTGGCTGAAACTTTAAACAGCTATAACTCCCTTGGTTTCCAACCAAACAGGATGGGATTTGGAACATAGATAGATATAATGGACTACTACAAGAAAGGTATGGTCACCATGCACATGCATACACGTGCGTGTACGTGCACTGCAATATGATTGGCTGAAACTTTTAACAGGTATAACGCCCTTGGTTTTCAACCATATGGGGTGGGATTTAGAACATAGATAGATGTAATGGACTTTTACAAGAAGGTATGGTCACCGTGCTCAGGTATGCATGTGCGTGCACGTGAAATGAACAAAATCAAAAATACACTTGAATGAGCGTATTTTTTATTACTTTTGGAATAAATACTTTAATTTTTAGTATATTAAAGTGTATGGATTGTGTAGACAAAATGATATGGTCATTACGCACAGGCATTCGCATGCGCACGCATGCAATGCTAAAATTTGAATGAACTTCGTAATCTTCCGGGTATATGTTGTTAAAGTCTCAAATACTTAGAGTTTGTCTTATTTAATGAAGCTTACAGGTAATATGGCACAAAAAGAGAGTTGGGGAGCGTTTGGGGAACATCTGTAACGGTCCCCGTTACAATTAGCACTAGTTATTAACAATTTCTCCCTTCTTTTAATTTACATACTAGTATTCACTAAAAAAAAAATATTTATTTACAAACTCTATTTCTACTTTCTTCTCCATGTGTGAGTCGCCCGTGCGTGGCGCATGTTGTTTTATTATATTTTCATGTTAAATACTAAAATGAGATTGGTTTAGACGCAGATAACACTCCGTTCTATTACCTTCGGCTTTAGCAACACACGTAACAACGGGTAACACAACGGTAATTTAACATGGGTGGAAATTCTGCGCGTACAGTTCACCGTAGAGTTCTCAAAACGTCAGTTACGCGTTTGAAAGAACCGGAATAAACTTGACGTCAATAAAAGCTTGCGTCCGACGTAGCTTACTTGAAAACAACAAACGACAGACGAAACATGCTTGTGTTTGCAGTAATAACGAAACTGTAGATGATAAAGGACTCGTAGAGTATCAAATAAACAATAAATAGGTCAGTAAATCTTTTTAGAAGCAGCGGGGAGTTTGAAAGGTTTCTAAACGTGAACGTAATGACGATCGGCGATTTTTTTTTTGCTGACATAGTAAATCAAGAAGACATTCAGTATAATAAAATGGCTGACGCGTCGGTTGAAATGGTTTTCCTTGGGGTGTCAATTTCAAATATTATACTCCAAAACGTTCTAGGCACCATTTATATAAGAATGCTTTAGATTCGCGAAGTAAGGAGTTAATCCTTTCGACACGGAGTCGAGTCCCACTGTGGAATATGGAGACTGGTCCCTCTGATGAGACCGTATAAACCCAGTTTATTTCTCATTTTAGGATGCAAACAGGAAACAGAATGTTAAACATCTCAAGGCATTATTTTTATTCCATAAAAACTCATTAACAATTGAATGAGTCTGTGTCAAAGTTAACTATACATAGCATGTAGATTTTAAAATAAAGAAATTTTTAAATAGTTGATATTAATTTAAAGAGAAATAAATACTCTCATATACAAACAATGAATGTAATGTTAGGTACAATAAAACACAATAAATAAAGGGGTTATGCCATATTTAACAAGAATTAAAAACTAAAACATGAAAAGGAGAAAATTACTGTAAAATATTTATATATAAAAAATTATAAACTTTTGCTATTATGAATTAGTCAAGTCAAGTCTATGAACTGGTGTTCGTATTAAGTATCAGTAAATAATTTTTCAAAGCATCTGTAGATCTTTCCAGTCTAGTGTCATCAGATCGATTCCATGTCGACAAGTTTCCATGCCGCTAAAATGGAATCAAAAAGACCAGTGATTAGCAACACTAAAATTGTTCCATGTATCTGATATTTCAAGCTATTTCATTAATACGTACTGCATCAAAAATAATGTTAAGTACGTGACTTTTCATGAAAAGTTGATTTTCTTTACAACACAAACCATGAAGTTAATAGTAATGCCATCTATTGCATTATAAATCATACACATCATCCTTAAAATTGACTTCACAATCAGAATATAAATGAAATTTATCTGTAGAGGACAGTGAGTTTTTTTTTTTAATTTTTAAGTACAAGTATATTTTAATGGTTTATTAACCTTTGAATGCAAATATATATAACATTTTTTCGTATAAATGTTATTGATCATGTTGATGTGTAAATCACACTTGTATATAGCGCAAATGTATATTTATCAAACAACTCGTTCTTCCATTTATGCTTGAAGAAATGAACACTATTTATTCTTTTTCTATTCAAAGCAATACCACATACATTTAACAACGTTTCTTTCCAAGGGTTCACGTTTCGCTTTCCTCCACGAGTCCGGGGACCTCATGTTTTCACTGACTTTTAAGTTTGTTTCAGAGATATCAAATCTAAAATGCAATTAATATTTTAATGCTTGACATCTTTACTTCTTCGTTTTTTTCCTAAATAAAGGGAAAAGTTATTGTTAATAGAAAAACAAACTTACCAAAATATATGTACATATTGTATATACAATGGTTTTCAATATATTTGTCAACGATTCGAAGTAATGTAATTTGGGTTCTTATTAAAAGGTAAAGTGTTTGATATTTTAAAGCAAAGAGGAATTCAGAAAATACCCTTTCCCGTACATTAAATTTTTCAATTTAAATTGTTATTAATCATGTTTGTCCCCAAAACATATTTTTTCCCTCTCGTATAGATATTTGTTGGAGTATCGTAATGTGAGAAAATGTTTAAAAATATTTACAAATGCATGTACCTTTTGTGAATTTTGTATCAATCAAATCAGTTACCTGATATAATTAATTCTATAAAAAACAGCAAATAACACTGAAAACTTACACTTTAGTTTGATCGGCATACTTCTTTTGGTATTTCCAACAGACACAAGCTGCAAGTATTATTAGGCACAAGGATCCACAACTTGCTCCAATAACGATTAGCAAAATGGGTAAGTCTGAAATATAAAAATTTAAAACTATATAGCGAAACATATTTAGATACAAAATATATAGAAATTTATAAATTTAATAAATTTATTTTCATTGTCCTATTTCTTAATTAATATTTAAAAGAGAAAACCTTGTTTTAGAAATGCGAATAAACTAATAGAGCAGTACATGTTGTATTATTTTTAATCTGGTTGATCAAGCTATGAAGTTCTTCGTTAATCGCTTCTTGACCGACTTACTTTCATTCGATGAATTTTTCCTGTAAAAAGAGAGACCATTATAATTATAGCTTCAGAATTGTTTACAAGACTCGATATTAGACATAATTGAAATGATTTAATGTACGTTATACGTACACACAAGTTGCCTCTCCGGAGGAGTCGTCACATGTTTTCCCCAAAAGACAGGTGCCACCAAAACTTTCAAACACGAAACATGGCTTGTCGACAGATGAAATGTCTATATAAAGAAAAACAATAAAAATTACCTTTTTTTAAATAACTGAATTCCGTCAGGGGCTCAAATATTTATGATTACTTGATGTAGAATGATAGTTTTGTAATATATAAAATTCATAAAGCTAGTCTAGACAATTAATAAAATAATAAACTTTGTCTGATTTATGTCGCTGAAATATACAAAGGAAGAATAATGATAAACTTACATTTCATGGATGTGCCATTTAGATCTTTTATAAAGATATTCATGATAGCTGGTGTTTGATTCAGCACAAGGAGCGTTCTGTCTCCACTTAACAGTTTTGACATGCTAGATGCAAGGTCGCTTTTAAAGTCATCTGATTCACTCTTATTGCCAATTATTTCATAATCAACAATCAAACTTCCAAATCTGTAAGTCCAAAAACACAATCCGGAAGAACAAAAATCTATGTGGTGAAGTTAATGAAATGTCTGTTTCTTTTTGAATTCTTTTACTAGCCTTAAAACATATGATAAATGGCAATGATTTACACTTGTTGCATTCTGAAGGGAAATAACGGTGAAAACAACATTGCATTTAAAAGGTTTTGGATAGCGTTTAATTTATTAAAACAAACGATGGCATTTACTGTATAACAGACAAAACACATAGCTACCAATGCCATTGTAAACAACAATGAAGAAATTAAAGTGGATATACATTAAACATAAGACAGATTTTATCACATTAAAATACAATTTATTATGAAGTCAAAATGACTTCATTCAAATTATATTTTGATTTATAGGCAGAGACAATTTTTTTTGCCATTTGCTTATTTCTAAAAAAAACGCACTTACCGAATAGATAGGACTTTAAGAACAAGATATCCGGTAACGTTTTCTTTCTTGTAATAACTTTCCAGCTGGATTTGCAAATCGAAAAAAAAAGAGATAAATTAAAGTGAAAATTAAAACAAGAGGCCCATGGGCCACATCGCTCACCTGAGTAACTTGGGTGATGCAGTTCTTTACCAGATTCCCCCTCTTGCTATACCTATCATGCCCCACTACCCCCTTCCCTTTTATGATTTTAAAACTTTATAATCTACACAACCCCAGGATGCTTCCACATAAGTTTCAGTTTTCCTGGCCCAGTAGTTCTTGAGAAGAAGATTTTTAAAGATTTGTTCTATATATTTCAATGTAAAACTTGGATTTCCTATTGTGGCCCCGCCCTACCCCTGGGGGTCATGATTTTAACAATTTAATATCTACACTACCCAAAGATGCTTCCACATAAGTTCCAGCTTTCCTGGCCCAGTGGTTCTTCAGAAGAAGATTTTTAAAGATTTGTTCTACATATTTCTATGTAAAACTTGGATTCCCTATTAATACCCGCCCTACCCCCGGGGGTCATGATTTTAACAATTTAATATCTACACTACCCAAGGATGCTTCCACATAAGTTTCAGCTTTCCTGGCCCAGTGATTCTTCAGAAGAAGATTTTTAAAGATTTGTTCTACATATTTCTATGTAAAACTTGGATTCCCTATTAATACCCGCCCTACCCCCGGGGGTCATGATTTTAACAATTTAATATCTACACTACAGTGGTTCTTGAGAAGAAGATTTTTAAAGATTTGTTCTATATATTTCTATGTAAAACTTGGATTTCCTATTGTGGCCCCGCCCTGCCCCGGGGGGTCATGATTTTAACAATTTAATGTCTACACTACCCAAGGATGCTTCCACATAAGTTTCAGCTTTCCTGGCCCAGTGGTTCTTGAGAAGAAGATTTTTTAGTGACCCCACCCTATTTTTGTCTTTTCTTGATTATCTCCCCTTGTAAGTTTGGTTAAAATTGGCCTATTGGTTCTTGAGAAGAAGTCGAAAATGTGAAAAGTTTACAGACGGACAGACAGACGGACGGACAGCTAGACGGACGACGGACAAATTGTGATCAGAAAAGCTCACTTGAGCCTTTGGAAAAGGTGAGCTAAAAAACAACAATTTTTTTAAAAATGTATTTACGAGGGTTGTTATCATTAGAAAAGTTCGCGGACACATTGAATTACTGAAAATCTATAGTGTACAGTGAAATATGACCTGTGTCTGAATAAATTTCTACATTTTGTTTATTAGTACGTAAAATATCAGGTCCATTTACTAATTAAAATCTTGAAAATTTTCAACGATTTTTACTATGAGGTCATGGGATTCACGGAGAAATCGCTTGGCGTAAGGAGACGTGACAACCATATTTCAACCCGTTGAACTTTGTCGCAGTTCTATATATCTTTCATTTCTTCAGATTTTTTCGATCATTTTTCTACTTTAGATTGAATATCTATTTCAAGACATGTTATTTTTCTGCGATGATGTCTTTTTTACTGATTTGGGTTGTACTGATTCGGATATTGTTAAGATCTTTAAAAAAAGTCTATGCAGTTAATCGATCAGGTATGAAAACTATGCGAAACCATATAGGCACAACGTCCATGCGATAAGGGGGTATTGAAGTATCGATTGAGTTTATAATTCAGAATGTTAATCCTTCCATTCTTATAAAGTTACAACCATTTGAAAACGTTCGTCCTTTGTATGTGCAGGAAATTCCCGGAAGCATCTTGAACATTTTATTCTCTTTTTAGACACTTTCCTGTCTGGACACTTAATTTTTACGTAGTGCGGTGCTCGATGACGCTCAATGACGTTCCGATTTTTGGCTGTGTTTTAACGCATTGATCATTTATAAATGGCTATAAAACAGTCATATACCCTCCAATTTATTTCAAAAGTGACGTTTGATGAATACTTTAGCGTCAGGTAAAATATCATAAATCTCTTTGCGCTACAATTGTGCAATTATTAATTCAAATAAAGAGTCTTTGTGATGTAAACGTGCCAGAATGTAGCATTCTCCATGAAGCAAGTTTTATAAAAAAAAAAAAAAAGCTGTATATGATCACCTGAGAGCACCAAATTTTTGTATATGTAATGGTAAATAGGTTAAGATTTTATCTGAAAAGTTTGACCGGTTACATGGAAATCCCGCATTCACAATATAACTTGTCCGCGAACTTTTCTAACGCCCTCGTATTTATGATAAAAAGGACATACAAAATACTGGACTACAGGTAACAGCTGCAACTTAGCATATCATAAAAAAGTTTGAACATACGGATAATTGGAATTCTTGTAGCAGTTCTTGACTTTTCAGAAGAAATTCCTGACGGCTTGTATTGGTGGCAAACTCTACCTCAACTCTTATTTTCATTTCTGTCTCATCTTTAATAAATTCATTTATTGCGAATGTAAGAGTTTCTCAACAATTAAAAAAAAATCAAAAATGAAGACACTCAAAGTCTTCAATTTAAATCTGATTGTATTTTCTTTTTTTAAAAAAACTCAGATAAAGTCTTGCATTTCGCCTCTGGTCATTTAAATACTTTTTCTTTAATTTTAATTAACTTGTAGGGATATACAAAAAAATAAATTAGGAAAGTAACAGAAAATATATGATGAAGATTTAATCTTACTTGTACTGTAAGTTGATTCTGGATCTGCAATTACAGATATAGAAATAGAATTGTAGGTCAAATATTTTTTCCCAAAGTCTCAACCTATCTCAAAAGAACACAGTCTTCAGCGCAGTCTGTGATATTATTATATTGCAGAGAAAAGTATGGTATCGGTTAAACTTATTTCTTGCTCATAAATACAGAAAATTTACTAACAAACACATTTATTAAGGTCTGATCCTCCAAAACGACATTCACAGTGGGAGGAGCCAGGAGTATTGACACATGCTTGCTGTAACTCTTTGTCACACTGAGTTATTTTATCTTTGCATTCATCCACATCCTTTGAACAATCGCTCCCTTCCCATCCTGTAATACACTGGCAAAAACCAGTGGAGGCATTACATACCTCTGTTTGGTTGGTTACACATGTACATACTTGGGAGCACTGTTCACCAAATGTATAGTTCTGGCAAACTGAAAAATAAATTTTCAACGTGTAATAAAATCATATCTATAAGATTTAAAAAGAGGTTGTGAAGACAAAATAATTATTGCCAACAACCTTGGCAAGTGAATCCGTTCCCTTTAAATCCTCGGGGACATTTACACAAATAACTCCCAACTGTATCGGTGCATATAGCATCGGAAGAACATTGGTTACTTCCATCAGCACATTCATCAATATCTGGAAAAAAGAGATAAAGAACTTACTTATTGTATAAATTATTTTGGAAATCAGAAATTGGTTTAATAAACGAATATGTATTTTTAAAAAAAAGTTTTGCTTACACATACTTGATCGATAAAATTGCTAAAACAAATGAAAAACATACTATGACATTCTTTATGGGTTGTTATGTTGACTTTGTAACCCTGGTTGCACAAACATTTGAAATCTCCAGGCCAGTTATTGCAGTCATGACATCTTGTATCAAGGCATTCATTGATGTCTACACAGTATTTGTCATTTGTTAACTTAAAACCATTGCCACAGTCGCATTGATAACTTCCATTTGTATTTATACATATCTGTTGACATGATGTTGGATCCTTACATTCATCAATGTCTATGGAAATAAAAAAATGGAAGGAAACCATTCTATGTTATTTTGTTAATGTGAAAAGGACATATAAAGATGTTATTCTCTTTTTGTGGTGTTTTATCAAAATCATATGAGACAAGACCTTGAAATGTTCCGTGTGAAATATAATATTATTTATAAGTTTGTCATGGTTGTTTTATTACCTGAACATTTTCCTTCTGATTTGTTAAAACCCGTAACACAATCACATCGGTATGACCCTGGGGTGTTGAGACAGAGCTCATGTTCACCAATGCGTGGGTTCAGTTTACATTCGTCAATATCTGTTTCACAAGTTTCCCCTGTCCACCCTGGTTGACAGACACAACCATTTATATGGTGACAGGCAGTGGAGCCCCGACCACATTTACATGGCGTGTTGCAATCCTTACCGTAGAAATACCCATTGCAAGCTGATATAGAAAATTATTAAAAGTAAATTTTATCATCTTTATGTAGATCCAGACACAGGAGTTCGCGTACCTGTCAATTTTGCCGAAATTTTCGGTGAATAAAAAAGATACGTAATACCTATAGTAATAACACAAGGAGTGCAACCGTTGTCCGCGACACCATGACATGACGTCACGGGCGGTCCATTTACCCAAAAGGAAAAAAAAAAACCAATCATACACAATTAACTAGAGATAACGATATTACGTTTAGATACGAGTACAAGTACTTGTACCGCCCCATTTTAAATTTTCTTGAATGTCTACTGACTTGTCTCTGGTTTCTTTTCCCATGTGACCTCAATCATCTAGAATAGCATTGTATTATTCATTTCAGGCAGTTTTGTTCCTTTTTGGGTAAATGGACGCGCCCGTGACGTCACGTCATGACGTCGCGGACAACGGATATTTGAGCGAAGTTGTGGAGAAATATCACCTCTGCTGCTGTAAAACATGCGTTTGAAATCATATGCTTTAAGAGCCATAAAGAATGGTCCCTTCCAAAAAGATTGGTTTGTGTTTTATAATTTTCGATTGAAGATTAATTGTGCCACACCTCCTAACCTTATTTGCATAAATCGGAAGAATTTGGAGATAAACGTAATAAAATATGAACAAAATCCGTAAACGTCCGAACAGCTTTCCTCGCGAGAATTCAACGAGACCAACATGCCAGTGGTGAAAATCGAGAGAGAAATTCAACATGAAAAAAGAGGTAAAACTTTACGTTTTCTCGATTTATAAGATTTCTAAATTGCGAAAAGTTGAAAAACAAACGTTTCTTTACTTAAAAAGTGAAAGTAGGTATACAGTTTCTCATTCTGTCAAGTGTTATTGCACTTTAAAGTGTCAAAACAGCACCTCTCGATTTTGTAAACATGTTTCCACGTGGAAGGGAGTAGTATGTGTCGGTCAAGATTAACCCACATACATTGATTTAGTAAACAAAAGCACTCGTAAGTAGAATTTCATTTATTTTTTCGATTACCTGTAGCACAAAATGGCTAAATATTTTAGGGCATGTTTGTAAAATGCTGTAAATAGGATGTCTTAAATTGAAGAGAAAATGCAGGTGTGCTATAGTTCGTTCCTACTTGAAGGTACGGTCTACTATGCATGCATATATTCAGAGTTACGCGTATTAGAGTCATTATTCTTACTTATCAATACCCAGTGATTTGTGAGAACCATATATGTGTTTTTTTAAATACCAAGAGACTAAAATTTAATTCTATCTGTACTCGTGTGTATGCACAAGAAGTTCTTCCGAATTTCCTCTACACATATACATGGGTACCTGGATAAAGGTTTGTTTACATTTGTTTGCAGTTTTAATAGTGTCAGCTACTTATATCAATCATGCAGTTTTCACTAGAGCCTACTAATCAAAATATGTTTGTTACTTTTCTAATTTAATATCATAGAATTTATGATCAGATGATGTCAATGCAGTTCTCACATACTTGTGTATACATGTATATCAGGAACTTCACATATGCAGTTGTCGCCCGCGTGGCGCAGTGATTAGAGCGTCTGCTCTAGAGTTGGGAAGTAAGGAGTCAATCCTTACGTTGCAGGTTTGAATCCCACTGTGGGATGTGGAGATCGGTCCTTGGGATGATCCGTATAAACAGAGGCCCCGTGTCGCAGTAGGTGCTGGCACGAAAAAGATCCCTCACTGAAGGCCCTCAGTGCCGAGCATAGGACAAAATTTGTAGCCCTCCATGCACTGGCAAGTGGTGGCGTCTCCATATGAGTGAAAAATTCTTGAGAGGGACATTATAAACGACATACAATCAATCACATATGCAGTTTATGAAAGTTTTTGAATATTTCTATGTGTACCACTATTTTCCCTTTTAAAGTATTGCCGATCTCAAACTAGCTAATGAAATAGTATAAATATATATAAAAGTAGAGGTACTCAGTGAGCAATGAGATCTGACACTAAATGAGACCCACCACTTCTCATATGAACATGATGAATATTATCATGACTCCTGTTTTTCTATGGGACACCCCAAATATGTGGCGGATCAAAAAGTAAAATAGAAGATGCACAATTGCAATATGTAATATAGATTCTGCGAAAGTTGTCATGCAAGTATCACTCAGTGGTATGAGAGGATAAGAGATGAGTACGCCAAAGCATAACAGACAGACGGACATACCGATTACTTAATATACCTTCCCGCTTTTCATGCGGGGGTGTAATAAATTACATGCATGCATGCATCATTCTGTGTAATGAAAAGATATTGTTTAAGACAATTTACATTGATGTTTCGCATTTTTGTTTGTAAGAATACATGTATTTCATTTACATATTGTTTAATTATTTTAATGTGTATAATGAAAAGTAATTTTCTTTTTTGTTTGACTATTGCAGGTTAGAGTACATTTTGAACAGCCATCTCCAGGTATGACAAAAATAACACAATTGACCCTATAATGTAATAAACTAACATTATTGAATTTAGAAAATGCATACAATGTACACTGTAGCACAAATGTGAAATCATTGTAGGGCTAGAAATAGTTTTCTTTCACTGCTCACTCAGGCTTTTTACTGGTCAGCTCATCATAATATCACTATCCCTCTAGATTTTAATAAAAAGAGACTGACCCAAAACCATAATACATGTAATAATAATCATGATAGATGTAATACAAAATGGTTATATTTTGTTTATTTATTGTGATACACAGTTGGACAAATAATTAATCTGAACAAAACAGCTGATTTCGAAATGACAGAACTTTGACACAAGCCTTTCAAGTTACTAGCCCAACTATAATTGTATTTTGTCATACATAGACCTGACCCAAAAGACAGATGCCCCCTACCATGAACTAGCCTAGATTAAAAAAAATCACTGACCCCAGTCCAGTGGGCCTTCAATTATTTTTTAGCCATGCATTGTAAAGTCAGCTATCGAGACATTCCGTCCTTTTTTGTTGTTTTTTTTTAATGATATATGCACCATCCCATACAAATTATACACACAAGAAAATATTTTTTCCACTTTTAAAATATGGGCTTTACTGATCTTTACATGTATACAGTTATGTCTTTTCTTCTGAAGAATGACATTGTTGGATTTAAAATTGGTCTTCAAGTATGTATGTGCATGATACTGTTTAAATGCACAAAAATTATAATTTCATTAAAATAACCCAAAAAAAAAAAAAAAAAAAAAAAAAAAAAAAAAAAAAAAAAAAAAAAAAGCAAATATAAAAAAGAAAATCAAATCAATTCAATTATAATATGCAATGAATGTTTCTTGCAGGACATACTCTAAAGACAGTGATGTGCAAGTTCAAGGTTTGCCTGTTGAGAGTATTGTATGTGTAACTGTAAGGATAAATTTATAACATTTAATATGCAACATTGTTATTTAATTATTATCATCCTGATCATGCTGATTGGAATAAACATAGAAAAAATAATAAGCATGCCCAATTACTCCAATATCTACATGTACATGTATATCAATGTATAAAAGAATCCTGTGTATTCATATATAGTTGGAGAGAGAGATGTTGATAAAAAGGGTCAATATAATTGAAAATCATGCATCAGTGATTTTTCTTTTTGTTTATTTATTAAAAGATTTAATCACGTTCTGTTTTATTTTCAGCAGATACTTTAATGATAAAGAGTGGGTGAAAAAATCCTCACATCATGCTGCATAACAGTACATGTAAGTTCAAAGACAGAAGAAAATCCATTAGAAGAGACTTTATAAATTCAGTTGGTTGTATGTTTCAGCAAACAATTTTATGAACTTAAAATTATGCTGATACATAAATCAGCATATTATGCAAGCTTTAAATGATTGCATTACATATTTTTCTGATTTGCATGTAGTGCATTGATATTTGTCAGTATTTTTCATTCTTTTTTTTCACAATTGCAAATGCTTGTATTTTATTTGGATTAATTAAATTTAGAGAATTGTATTAATTTATTAATCATATTTGTAGTTCAGCTGTAACAAAACAAATTATCTGATGAAAGACTCAACCACGAGAATAGGAAAGGATGTCAAGTCCAAAGAGAAGGTATGTTGATTACTGGTAATGATATGTTATTGATGTAAATAATGTACAGCAAATAAAGTAGAGAGAACAATAGTAATCCGTAGACAAAAAATTAAATCTTAGTTCTTTTCAAGAATAGGCAGGTCATGATTAGTCACTCTGAGATAGTTCAGAGCAGATTTAGATTTGTTCAGATCATATAGCTGTAGGGTAGGGTGGGTCCACAGTGGGGGGTCAAAGTTTTACTCTGGAATATTTAAGGCTGAAGCTTTTTATTAAAAAATCTTTTTAAGATTATCAGGGCCACGATACATCATATTTTTTGAACGAATACATCTTAGTACAGAATACCAGAATCAAGGGTAATGGATGTGCCATAATTAGAGACAGAATGTTTATCTTGAAAGTCCTATGTAAATATTGCAAAATCATTTTGTTTATTTATTGGCTTTTAAGTTAAGTAGAGATTAAAATAATACAAGTTTTCATAATTTCAATTCTTATTTTAAGGAGACTTTAGTTAATATCTTTCAATTAATCTTTAAATATCAAAGTAGCAGCAACTTAGAATAGCTGGTTATGAATAATCTGCAGAGCTCACAAACTATATAAGGTAAAAAATGCTACAATTTTCAGAGAGAAAGCAATATTTTGGGGTTATAGAAAAGGGGCATAACTCTCATCATGATAGTAAATGATGGATGTCAGATAATGTGAAAAATGTTTACTGTTGAAAAATAAGTGAATAATACAGTGCAGTCTGAATAAGTACAGTTAAACAACAGTATCTTAAAATAAAACAATGTTGACATTCATGACAGTATTACAAACTGGATGAATGATTTGTATACACTTTGTATTGCATATGATTTACTTTTGTTAATTTAATTTGCTCATTTTTTGTAGATCTCTTTCACATGCAGATCATTAATGAACAATGAGATTGAATTAGCAACTGTAAATGGCATATATGAATTTTATATACTCTGTTTAGAGTTGAAATTTGGTATATATCTTTCACACTGAGTAATGTCTTGAACACATTGAGATATCAAAGTCATTTTAAAGTCCCTTGAATGACATTTATTTTATATATATATCTTACCCTGAAACTCTTGGATATTTCAGTTTTGCAGCAGTCCCACATAAGCATTTCAAGATAACAAGTGTGACTTTATTTATTGATTCAGTTAATCTATGATGAATTATAAATATATCACTCATATACTTTTATGTTAATGCATTAACATTTTATATTTTTCAGGCCATATAACAGATGGTTGCTGAATTCATGAAGACTGGAATGAAACAGTACTTTTCTACTCTTATGAACCATATCGAAATATCATTTGAGGATCCCTTTCTCAGAAAAGAAGAATTTGCATATTCAAAGACTCAATACTTTATTGTTTGTTTGTATGTTGTTTAACGTTCTTCTTGAGAAGATATATGGGGATGCCAACATTTTTCGTTGGAGAGCTGCAAACTTTGTCCTTTACTTGCCACACATGGCTAATTAAGCAATGAGGGATCTTTTTGGTGCAAGCACCTACTGCAACACAGGACCTCTGTGTATACAGTCTCATCTCTATGTCCGACTGTGTGTTTACCAGCAATTTAAGGATCAACTCATTACTCTTGTCTCTCGAGCAGACGCTCTTGCCACTGCAGCATGCAGGTGACTTCATAGGTTATAAATTGATAAGATAAGATAAGATTTATAACTTAAAACTGGTGTTTTTAATTCAACCACAGTATAGAAAATGTTTGGAAAAAGGGAGGTAATAGCTAGCTCTCACCGGTATTGCATACTTAAACTATATGAATTACATATTTTAATTACACATGTATTTTAAACCAGATCAGTAAAGAAAGAAACAATTGAATATTTTTACTATGAATTTTATTATAAGGTTGATTATCTTTAAACAAGAGGCCCACGGGCCTTATAGGTCACCTGAGCATTATGCAACAACTTTCCAATTATTGAATTTGATTCATGTTTTAAGCCAGATGCTATATGGCATTCACAATTTTGAAAGAGGCACCATTGATCATCATAACAATACACTTAGCAGTTGCTTAGCTTGGTTACTGAATACCCATACGCAGGGTAGGGGAACAAAAATGCATTCCAACTAATCAGTAATATTCAGCAAATAAGCAGTAGTGCTCCTAACACTGTGACAAAAACCCCTGACCCTAGGTCCACACATTGCACAAATTTTAAAAAGGCACCCTTAAAATTGCCTATCAAAAAATAAATAAATGTTTTATAAATACAAAGGAGCAGATTTCAAACAATTAACTCATTTACAGTATATAAGTAGAGCCCCCCGGTACCCCTAACCCTGACCCTGGGGCCTTGAAATTCACAATTCTGCAAGATTAGGGCCCTTGCTCATCATAACTATATAGGTAGTTCATCTGCTTCATACCCAGAGACAGAGAAGAAAATTTTCAAAGATTTAATGTATTTTCACTATATAATGAATAGAGCCCCATCCTAACACCAGAACCCCTGACCCTGGGACAAAAAAATTCACAATTTTGATTGAGGCACTCTTGTTCATTATAACTATGCACTTAGTTAGTTTATTTAATACCCAGGAGCAGAGAAGAAAATTTAAAGAATTCATGTATTTTCACTATATAATCAATAGAGCCCACCCTCCCCCTCCTAACACTAGACGCCTTGACCCTAGGGTCATAAAATTCACAATTTTGGTTGAGGCACTCTTGCTCATCATAACTATGCACTTAGTTAGTTTATTTAATACCTAGGAGCAGTGAAGAAGATTTTTAAAGAATTCATGTATTTTCACTATATAATCAAAAGAGCCCCCCCCCAACACCAGAACCCTTGACCCTGGGGCCATAAAATTCACAATTTTGGTAGAGACACTCTTGCTCATCATAACTATGCACTTAGTTAGTTTATTTAATACCTAGGAGCAGAGAAGAAGATTTTTAAAGAATTCATGTATTTTCACTATATAATCAAAAGAGCCCCCCCCCCCCAACACCAGAACCCTTGACCCTGGGGCCATAAAATTCACAATTTTGGTAGAGACACTCTTGCTCATCATAACTATGCACCTAGTTAGTTTATTTAATACCTAGGAGCAGAGAAGAAGATTTTTAAAGAATTCATGTATTTTCACTATATAATCAATAGAGCCCCCCCCCCCCCCCCCACACACACACCAGAACCCACCCTTGACCCTGGGGCCACAAAATTCACAATTTTGGTAGAGACACTCTTGCTCATCATAACTATGCACTTAGTTAATTTTTTTAATACCTAGGAGCAGAGAAGAAGATTTTCAAAGAATTCATGTATTTTCACTTAAGAGCCCCCCCCCCCCCCAACACCAGAACCCTTGACCCTGGGGCCATAAAATTCACAATTTTGGTAGAGGCATTCTTGCTTATCATAACTATGCACTTAGTTAGTTTATTTAATACCCAGGGGCAGAGAAGAAGATTTTCAAAGAATTCATGTTTTTCCACTATATATAATCAATAGAGCCCCACCCTAACACCAGAACCCCTGAACCTGGGGCCATAAAATTCACAATTTTGGTAGAGGCACTCATTGTCATCATAACTATGTACTTAGTTGGTTTATTTAATACCCAGGAGCAGAGAAGAAGATTTTCAAAGAAATAATGCATTTTCACTATATACTTAATATTTAGCCCCGCCCTAGCACTAGAACCCCTGACCCCAGGGCCATGAATTTCACAATTTTGGTAGAGGACTCAATGCTAATTACAATCATGCAAACAATTTGACTGCTTGATGTCCAGAAGTAAAGAAGAAGATTTTTAAAGATTGCATTAATTTGAATGGTTTTGGCCCCACCCCTCAGGCCCCAGGGGGGCAGGGATCATGAAATTCACAATTTTTGTTTCCCTTCACCCATAGATGCTTTATGCCAAATTTGGTTGAAATTGGTTCAATGGTTGCAGAGAAGAAGCTGAAAATGTTCAAATGTTAACACACGACGCACGACGCACGACTCACAACACACAACACACGACGCACGACGACGGACGAAAACGGATAGCAATAGGTCACCTGAGTTTACTCAGGTGACCTAAAAATGGAACATTAATTCTTTTGAGCAGGAAGAAAAAAAATAATTAGAATGTACATGTACATGTGCACTTAATTTAGTTTATCAAAATATTCAAAATTTGAAGATCTTGTGAAGGATATCTAAATATTGATTTATAAATTTTTATCTTATTTTCAAACAGTATAATCTTTATCATAACATATGCCCTGTAATATACAACTCATTTGTTGTTGAACATTCCATTGTCTGTCTACATGTAGTGCTTAGTTAATTTCTTGTAAACACAATCATGATTGCATGCTGTTTGTTTACTTTGTCTTTTTTTTCAGTATTAGTCATGATATATAAATGGTGTGCATATCAGTTTAAATTATTTTTGTTGAATTCAGTTAACCAAAAAAAAAAAAAACAAAAAAAAAACTAATAACTGAATATAATTATGTAGATAGATACCTTCAAGAAATATTTACATGTACTAGTAGCTGCAGATATGTAGCTTATGTAAAATCAGGTATACCTGAAAATCAATTTTACCTGTATCATTAAACAGAAATTTAGTTAACACATTCATATACATATGCAGTATTTCATACTGAAAATAGACTGTGTGTTAATGTTATACTTATTCAACATAAATATTGATCAGAAGTGATCTTGATGAAATAAAACATGTATCTCACAAGTTTTTTTTTCTTTTTTCCCCCAATTAAGCAATTTAAATCTTTATATATTGATAAAAGAAACTGACTATACCATTTAAAAAAATCTTGAGTTGTCTTTCCTTGTTTAAAGAAAATATCTGATGCAATGAATGCTCCCTTGGGTTCATGGCCCTGAATATTAATAAGGTTGGGAGGTGTGTGTGCGACAGCCTTGATATTAAGCGAGGGGTTCCCAGGTGACCTAAAATGCGTTACACTCCTTGTGTTATTATTATACGTATTACGTATTTTTTTTTATTTAATGAAAATTTCAGTATAATTGATAGGTACGCGAACTTCTGTGATCAAGATGAATGAAGTACACACATGGATTAACATTGTGACGGAATTGAACAGCAAGTGCAGGGACATTTAAAACTTGCATGTGTTGGGTAAATATAGATAATTTTTTATTATTTTTTTGAAAGAGATTATTTTCAGACTAATTGAAATTACCCGAATATCATTTTGCTTTCTTTAAATAATTTGGAAGACTTTAAATTAAGTTATGTAGTTTTCCTTAAACAGTTATTAACATATGGAATAACACAATGTCAGTAAAAGCATATCTATTGATGTATGCTATAGATAATTCTTTAAATGCTGCAGGGAACACTCAGCATAAAGCACAAAACTACATTCTTCAAAGTATGCAAGTGAAGGTTAATTATCTGACATGAAATGGGATCCTAGAATGATTAAAATTGTCAAAAATTCAGAACAATTTTTATTCAAAGAAATATGACCAGAAAAATATTTATTATATTATCATATATTGAAAGCCTATATATATTGTAAAAAATAATGAAAAATAAAATTTTATGCAACACATTGAACACTCGTTCACCAAATACTTTGACATTGTATAAGCATCAGGAATGTACCTTTACATGATATTCGATCATTTTGAAGCTCATATCCAATATCACATCCACATTCAAAAGACCCTACCGTATTTGTACAGTTATGGTCACACGTAGAATTCTTTTTGCACTCATCAATGTCTAAAAAGACAAAATTACAAATATTAACTTACATGTTCAGCCATTTATCGTAAATGTAGGAAAAAAAGAAAATTAATTTCTCGTATTGAAATTTAAATGCGAACAAAAACTTAAGTTAATACTACCAATGCACGTTGTCATGTCACTATCAAGTTTGTAGCCTTTTTCACAGAAACAAATAGCTTCCGTTTGGTCCTGTACACTTTGGATGCAACCGTAACTACAGTTTATGCCCGGAGAAAGGGAACATATGTCCTTAACTGAAATATAACAAACATGTTTTAAGTAAATCGCAAAATTAAAAAGAGTACCTGTTTCAAAAAGGATCAATTTAGACTGAATTTTTGCAAATGTTTCACAGTGTTCAGTAATTCTAAAGAGTAGTATAAGCGATTGAGAAAATATGTGAAACTCAAAGAACAAAATGTGCACTTTCGAAAGGGCATTAGGAGAAAGAATTGTATGAAAAAGCAACGCACTTCTCGTAGATGCATAATTAATTAATAAGAAAAGGTAATATGTCCACCTTTTTCACACATTTTACGATCGTTTTGAAGATTGAATCCAGGATGACATGCGCAATTATAATCACCATCTACATTGATACACAGTTGGGAACAGTCATGACGTCCAGTCTCACATTCATTTATATCTAAAAAAAAAATTTCATTTGTAGGTATTTTTTTTGAAATCTTAAAAATTCCAAAGAAAGTTTGGATAAAATATTATGATAAGAGAACAGATTTTATATCATTTCAGTTAGATTACTGAGCATTATTATTGATGATTGTATATATTTTTCATTGTATTACATAAAATGTACAGTCTGTATTTACCTTTGCATTCGTCGTTTATAAGTTGAAATCCACTCTGGCATTCACATGTGTAATTACCATTTGTATTGACACAAAATGTAAATTCTGGGCAATCATATAGGCTCTCGTCAGAACACTCGTCAGTATCTTTATAAAATACAATATTTCAAAAAAAGTATTCAGGACAACTTAAAATCTTCAGAATTTCAATTTATAAATAAAAATTGAAACATGTACAAGCTTATTTAATTTCTTTAACATACCTTCACATTTATCACCATTAATATCAAAACCTTCCCCACAAATGCACGAGTATGAACCTTCAAGATTCTGGCATACTCGGTCAGAACCACATATAAATGGATCCACTAAGCATTCGTCAATGTCTTTGTCACATTTCACACCTGTCCACCCTGATAGACAGACACATCCACTGACTGGATCACACCTGTCTCCACCAGAACCACATTCACATAGTTTACTACAGTTCTCACCACAAGAAGGGATCTCACACTCTATGGTTTTAAGTATTAATATTCAGTTTGAACAATAAATACCTTACAATCCCACAAAATAAAATCAAATTATAACTAGTCGAATCAACTGTTATTGCATTTCTTTGCAAATTTACTATGCTTCTTTAAAACCTTGTTTATCTCATGAAAAATTTTTAAATGTTCCAGCAGAAATTAACAGTTAATGGCCTTTAAATGTATTAGCATCAAGAACAAATTACACATTTCTTGAGTACGTTTTTCTTAAAAGTATTTTGTTTAAAAATATCTTAAAACATAAGATGTTTATGTATTTTGAAACAAAAGTGAAATCGATTATTTTTATTTTACATCTCTAATGTACACAATGATCATTTTCTTGTTTGAAGGAATATGAACATCTAAGGGATTCTTGAGTGCTGTTCTACCTGAACATGACGTTTTATCCTCATTTAAGAAATATCCTGGTCGACAGGTACAATTAAATGATCCTTTAGTGTTGATACAATCTTGAGCACATGCCGTAGTTGCAAGTTCGCATTCATTTATATCTAAATAAAATAAAAGATATACTTGTAAGGTAACATTCGGACTAATTTAAGTATTTACACATTACCAGAAAGTTTATACAACAAATGCTCCTACAAATGTTAAAATATACCAATATAGAGCATATCATTCCATATTGACCTTTTTTATGTTCACTAATTTTTAATGTTCATTTTGACTTCTTTTATGTTGTATGCTTGAAATTGATTGAAGGCACTGAAATTGTGAAAGACCTTACAATAAGCGAAATATTATCTACAGGCATGTATTTACAAATTTCTAACAACTTTCATTGAAAAATATAATGCTAAATCACCGTGTAACTAAAAAAAAAAACAATTTTGCAACCGACATATACTCCTGTATAAGGTATTGTCCTTTTGACAACTCTTTTTTGGTTCATGTCTTAAATAGGAAAAGGTATTAACCTTTACAGTTTATGCCATTAGATGCTAATTCGTATCCTAGCGGACACACACACTTAAAAGTTCCTGAAGCATTTCCACATGTGTATTCACACATTTCAAAGTTTTCACAGAGGTTGTCTTCTACAATTTAAAAGTACAAATATCGTTACAAGAAGGAAAGAGCCATAGTATAATTTTCTTGATCCGTTTGAATACTACTAAACTATGTGTTGACGTCTTTGTTGATAGATGAATGTTATTGAAAACTAGAGAGAAAGTCTTTTCATCGAAACAATTTCGAATTACCTGTGGTCGTACCTGATTTAATACACGATGATTTGTCGGTATTTAAGATAAATCCTAAGTGGCAATCACAATGAAACGAACCCTGTGTATTTCGACATATTTGTTCACAGTCTGACGTGCCGTCAAGACACTCGTCAATGTCTACAACATATAGAGAATATTTTATGTCATTCATAAAATCATTGCAAGTTGATATCAATTTTATTTTATCTTATGTTTTTTTTAAAATAGATACTTTTTAGTTATTTTGTTATTTGATAATTCAGAATTAAGTCTCTGTGTCGATAAAGCGAGTAATATTTGCTTTTTCACAAAGATACACATCTAAACATAAATTAAATGTTATATATTAGTTGAAAGTCAATAATAACACATAAAACATAAAACTGTTCGTGTTCTGGAACTCAATGTACTTCAATATTAAATTTTGCTTTCTTTTCCTCCAAAAAAGAACAGCATTATTTTAAAAACAAACTTCTGTTTCTTTTTCGATCCAATAATGTAATTCTAAATAACGTTTATTACCGAAAAAACACACAGAAATTGTGAAAAAGACAGTCAAGTTCGAGCAGGTGCTTGAAAATCAAACTCGACCCTCCCCTCAAATACAGTACAAAAATTGTAGTACACCCTAATTTTAATGGTTCGACTTTATAAGGAAATTTACGCATAGTTTTTATTTTAAACTAATAAAAATGTTTGTACTTGCCTCTACAAATGTCGTCTATTTTCCTATAACCATTCAAACAATGACATATGTAACTTCCGTCAGTATTTTCACACATTTCGGTAGAAACATTGCATCTGTTGGTGAACACAGATGCACACTCATCAACATCTGAGGAAAGATAATGTGAAGATGTCGTTTTATTAAAACAAGGGATAATTGAAAAAAAAAATGAAGGAGACACTGCTCATTTGTTTAAGACTTTAATTACAGACCTGCACATTTAGTGTCAACATCCACATAGCCAGGTGGGCACTCTGAGCAGTTGTATCCTCGACCCAAAATGACTTCTTCAGCAGGAGTAAGGTCGGTACAGTTTCTATCTAGAGAGCACGGACTCTGAACACAAGCATCTATGTCTTGTTCACAATTCTCTCCTAAGAATAACCCAAAATGATTCAATAAAGTGCGTGTGTATGATAAAGGGCTTGCGTGTGAGCAGAAAGGTGTGTGAGAGATGTGTGAGGGTGTGTGTAGGGTGTATGAGGGCGCGTATGCAAGGTTGTGGGTGTATATGATGCACAATTAACTATTTATAACCAGATAGATTTATATTATGCAAATCTTTCCATGGTGTAGAAAATGAAATCTCTTACCGGAATACCCGATGTTGCAAATACAATCAGCCTTATAACTGAGAGCATTTTCTGTTGTTAAGACGTTTTCATAGTCACATTGGCCCTTATTACTGCATCCACTACACAGTATAATTGTAACATCTAGAGATGGTGATTCAACCCCCATATCATCGACAACACTAACACTAGAAAAAAATGTTACATATTTTCATACCAAACTCGCTTTATGCATCATTACCGGTATCATGTTTTGTGTACTATTATTAATATCATGGAAACAGTGGATTAAAAATACCTTATTTCTGATACATTTGTATTTAGAGGAGTCCACGTCGCTACTCCAGTTGTTGTGTTGAAGCTAAATCCTTCTGGTTGTTTTAGGACTTTGAACATTGGTCTTTCTTTACCGTCATCAGATGCGTTAAATCTTAAGGTAAGTTCGTTATTAACCTCAGCATTAATTGTCGTGTTCCCATGTATACTTGGAATTTCATTTTCTATTTTAAGATGTAAAAAAAGAATTAGCATATACATGTAATTTTTAGATACCCGTATACTTATGTTCAAGCCATACAATAGATTTCAATCTCTTACCTACAATGGCGATGTCGTTTAAAGATTTAGCTTCTTCGTTGGCAGATGACATAGCTACACTTATATCTCCTGTTGCAAGAAAGTCAAAAATGCAGGCTTGAGATGGGCTTGTCCCACAAATTTCTTTAGCCGAATTAAGCTCCTCTTCATCTACTTCATCCATGAATAAAGGTTCAAATTCCGGATGTGAAAAATTCTCATGATTTAGGCCCTCATCGTAATAGAATATAGATTTGTCTTTGACAGACCCTTTGAATAAAGCAATAAATGAGTAATAGTAATATTATGTACACCTAAATAAGTATAATATCATTTATAAAAATTTTCTAACTTACATTGCTGTCCAAAATTGTAGAAAATGTCCCGTTCTGTTCTTGTTGCATTCTCACTTAAAATGGTTCCATTTGGGAGAATGAAGTCGTTTGTAGCATTCCCATCAAAATTACCCATTAATCCCTTGACAAATCCACTGTACGTATCATCAACCACAACCTCCGAAATCAAAAATCGTACTCCAAGTCGGATTTTTAGAATTATTGCTGAAAATATGTATTTGATATCATCAGAAAGATGACTTTGTATAGTATCCTAAAGCATAAATGCATCGTTTTTAATTTTGATTTCATTGCAACATTAAGATTTTCTACTTACAAGACTGGAAAAAAGATGCTAATATGGATTTATTTTCCCAACGAATGGATAAATTTTGTGTAAGGTAAGTGTAATTTGTATTCTGAAATCTTGTAGTCAGGTCATTTCCATTTCCTCTGATTATTAAATCTGAAAATAAAACAATAGATGGCGCATAGGCAAAAACGCTCATCTGAATCTCTATACCCTTTGTACTTCTTATTTTCCTCTTTTTATTTATATTAATTATGTAAAACAATCTCGGATATTGTGGTCCGATTATTCCTGCAGGAATTATAAAAATATATTTAAATCAACACTACATGAGCATGCTTTCAAATTACATGTACTTTCAAATTAATATATTATAATCAACAGTTTGCTGTTCTTGTTTTTATACACACCTTTGTAACAATATTTGAATGCCCATTGTGCCATTACCCTTTCTCTCGGGTCATGATTCAAACAAGACTAAATGTACACCGCCCTAAAAACTTTCTTTGTACATATGATTAGCCATGACTTTTCTATTCTAAAGGGTCTTACAGTCATTATGACTCAAACAAACTTACAATACAATGGAGACTAATACCCAAGTAAAGCTATATCTATTTAATTAATTTTAACATTAAGAATTAGTAATCAATTTATATATATCAAAAATCATAGATTATAAACGATTTCAAAGCGTTTCATCCACCTTGTTTGTTGGATGACATTTCTATTTGTACTTTGGATCCAGTTTGGTCTTGAGCCACGAAAGCACTGAATACTGTAGCATTGATGACAGTTCCATTCGATGTTGTTGCCGGTTCCGTTCTTGCCTGAAAGTCGAATCTGGTACCATCTTTTGTTATTTCCATCATCACGTATTCCCCGTGACCATTGAAGGTGTATTGTTTTCCATCAAGTGTTCTGATGTGAGGGTCACCAGAGTTTATTCCTCAAAGAACATATATTACACGTGTTCAATACTAAGTGAATTTCAAACAAAAGGTATTAATGGTTAACAAGGTTATTTGCTTACTTTCTGATATCATAAGGCTTAAGGTTGTATTTGATTTATGCTTAAGATAACTTTATTTCTTTTCTTTGATTTTACTTATATATGTACTTCTGTTTTCCTTGCTTGTCTAAATTTCTTTCTCGCCAATTCATTTTTATGAAACAAGGAACATGAGGAAGAGTTGTGTAGTTGAAATATGTCATGACATTACAGCTGAACTCAACTTGTAAATAGGTCATTTTTGATAGTACTATCTATAATATCAGCATCCGTGTGTTCGTTTGTATACTGCACTGACCAGTGGAAGTGTTGTACGTTTGTTATTTTACTCTTCTGCATAAAAATAAATTCATGATTATTTTTGTGTCTATCGGTAGCTGCGTAGCATGGAACATAAGACACAGGTGATGACTGATAACACTGAACAGTGACAACGTGAGCGGCTTTTAAGGGTCCTCAGGTTTAACGAGCATACAATCGAATGTTTTCAGCTTTAGACAGTTGGATACGTGGAGTACTAAGGGTGAAGCTCTTTATTCATTATTTATCAACTTTTTCAATCGCCATTAGTATCTTTGACATACCCAGTTTAATTCCATAACTGTGAATGGAAGTTCATGTTGCATCCATGTTAAATTCCATAATTAATTATCACCCACTTACACCAGACACAATGACAGACCAGGATATTGTGATGTAGGGTAGGGTGGTGTAATTTCGACCACCTGGTTAATTTCGACCGTTCAAAAATACATTACATATATTTTGTTTTTGGTGTATAATTGTGTATGAACATTTATATTAAGCAGAAAGAAAACATATTTTTAATATATCGTGTCCAAAATAATTTTGTTTCCATGAGCGTTATTAAAATCGTTATTGGATAATTACATCAAAGAACAGGCTTTATCACCCGAAAAATTACAGACGAGTATATTTTTGTCACTACGGCGAACTATCACTTCAGAAAAATCTTGCATGGAAAGACAATCAATGGATATCCCTGAAGTGACATTTATCAAATATTATTTTGAAAATGAAATTTTTACGCTTTTAATTTACAGCATTTAGTTTTTACAAATTAAATTGGAAATTAGCTGAACAGAAATTGGTCGAAGTTATCCCTACCTGAATACGGCGTCAGTGGGTAACTTCGACCGATGTAGAATGACGCAATTTACTATCTGTCACCAGAAAGAATTCATGACCGTCCGGAAAAAATATTAAGAAATGAATTATGTACATTAATACCTGGTAGAAACTAGTACTTCAATAGTGAAAAAAATTATTTGTTTTATTTACACGCGGTTTAGATGCCTGTACATGTACATTTATAGCATGCTTTAACCACTTAGTATATCGGCGTCATAGACATATCTGGTGCACTCGATGTCTTCGAATAAGGTACATTTCGAAAATTGTCATTTTTTGGTCAGGATTTTTACTCTATATTTTGTGCTGTACAGCAGAAATATTCAAATTCATATTTTTTAAACTATATTAGAGCTGACGCCAATTATTTCCTTTGTATTGGCTCATCGGTCGAAAATACCCTGTGTGCGGTCGAAATTACCCAACACACATATCTTGTAAATCGAACGCATTTATTTCATATTGTGACCAAAAAATATATATAAAATCAATGTAATCTGAAAGATAAAAGATATTTCGAAGGTAAAAGGATCCAGTAAAAGTTGTAGCATAACATGACAGTGAATACTTTAAAAAATCTTCAGTACATAAAAATAATCGGTCGAAATTACACCACCCTACCCTATATTAGACATTTGATGTTCCATGTGGCCAGATTAACATTCAATTGTAAATACGTATAGAGATCATTTTTCAATTTTAAAGCGCTATCCAAGAAAAAAATTGAGAATATATAATTCTAAATTTTTTATGTACAATGAACTTAATATTTTAGGTAAAGTTTAAAATTAGAGTAAAACGAAAATTTACCATACCTGGTCGAAAAGGTGACCTCCGATAGCAACCTGGAATTGGCCGCACTTCATAAAACCATTTAAAATGCCGAGATTTAGTACATGCCTCTCTTGGTTTCAGGTCATTTTTTATGTAAAGATGCCGCTCAAAGAAAGGATTGTATTGTAACAGTGTCCCAACTGCAGGAAGAGATCGCTCAAGAACACTTAAATTATCTATTCTTCGATGTAATCTGTAACAGCACTCCTGAAAACATATATACCATGCCATTAGTTTAACTCACATAGAACATTGTTGAAGAATATTTCAGTTTATGGATAAATGAGATTTATTTGTAAAAGGTTAAACGCCCTTCTGATAAAAGACATATATACATGTATTTAAATTATCTCAGAATCCATTTTAAAAATGTGTATTTTTTGCCATTTACATAACTGAAAAACTCCCAAAATGACGATCACCCTTTACCAAAGGGCAATCTAACATTCACATACAGTTTGTTTGCTAATATATTTGTTATTTATAACTTTACATTTGCAGCATTTGGAACAGTTTCTTTACATGTATTATATGAAACACCTCTTTTTAATAATAAAAGTTTAACTTAAAAGTTGCACCATTTAAAGCATAATATCTAGAGTATTTTTTCTTGTTTTTTTTAGTAGTTTTTCTTTAAGAAAATTAATAGTAATTATTTGTACATAAATTCAAACTTAGCGCAATCAAGTAAAATTGAGTTATCATTAGCGTATTTTTGAATTGCTGACAATGTCATTGTATGGCCTATAGTACTTTTACAAAAGGATATCTTTAAACGAAAATGCTGATATTCATGTTTCAGCAAATTTTGTGTCAATAATTTGCCGCGTATTAAAAATTGTTCATAGTAGAGCATGCACTTATGTATCAAATCATCCGAGAGATATAAAACCCGTATGCAGGTGATGATGGTATATGCTGAATAAGTAAGGGAAGCTGGCGATTGAAAAGCTTAAGTCATCACATTTATAAAGTTTGGATCGTAAGATTACCATTAAGGACCTTTTTCAAGTACCATATCTGTATATGAGTCAGTTGTGTCAGACACGTACAGTAGTATCTTTAGTCTCAGACTCAACGGGACATATCGTATTATCGTATCGACAACAGAATGGAAATAATCAATTTTAATCAGTTAATTTAAAAAAAAATTTGTAATACACTAAATATTTTTTAAATATACTCCATTTTTTAACTTTACAATTCTGTATCCAATTTTCATTGTAACAAGATTAGACATAAATAAATCTTTAAATAGTATGCCTCGCTTTTTATCTCAAATCTGATTCTCTTTGTATCTAATGCTTACATGTATGCTGTTGACAAAAATCAATTTGGGGGCAAATGTTTTTTTTATATAAAATGTAGTGCAGAAGCATTTAGGCTTTAAGGACCCTCTCTACACTAGTACCAATTATATGTGGACATGAAGAAAATAAGAATGAATGTATATTATGGGCTTATGTACTTAATTTTCAATATATGGTATGTGGCACCCCCCTCCCCCGGAAAAACGTTCAAACAGTACACAGTTTCAATTATCTTTGACTTTTAAAATGTTAGTACTTGAAATGAGCACAAACTGAGTAATATACGAAAAATATCTTTTTAATAGAATTTAGAACTGAGGCAAGATCTCTCCAACTCCAGGAAAAAAATACAATAGAACTATAACTCTTTAATGTGCAATGTAAAGAGAGTTCTTAAACCAATGTTACGAAGTGAAATATATTACGAACAAAGTCTACTTACAGCATTTCTACCAACAATCATGGATGCATAGCAAAGAACACGATATTTCCTGTCGAATCTGTTAATGACGTATCGTGGATCGAATCTAAGCAAACGAATGTCACATGGACACCGGATTTGACTTAGTACAGGTGACAGTTGGTCTTTGATCCCCGTTTCTTTGTTTTTTATATACCAGTCATAGCATACTTTATCATCCTTTTTCAATGGTCTTCCTATGGTCATCTTATAAATCCAGAATCCTGGCACACCTTAACATTCAAATTTAATTTTAAATCTTAAATTGTGCGAAAAAACTATGTATTTATTTTAGAATTTCTATAATGTCAATAACAAAGAAAACGGATATCTTTCATTCAAAACTGTTTAATACATGGTATATGTACCATGTCAACTGTTTGAATTTTACAGCTTATCCAGCCAATGTCGTATTTTTCCCTTAGCATAAAAAATAAGCTTAAAATTTTCACTTGAAAAGCAAAACTGTTATTCATAATTTCATATACGCATTTCATTTTTTAAATTATGATATAAAATATTATTTCAATAAATATTCTTTCAGCAGTTACCTCTATTTCCTGGATATTGACTCATTTGAAAAGCAGAATGTTTGTTTGAAAGAATATTCTTCGTAAATATTTTCTGAAAGCGATATCCAACAATAATTTTCAATCTTTTGATTGGTTTAAGGTTGACATCTATATAATTTATGACTGTAAAAGTGCTGACGCCATCTGTAATCAGGAGACATTGGAATGTCACAATCTAAAAACAGAATATAAAAGTCATATTACACATGTCATACGCAATATATATTCTTAACATAACTGAAGAGCCTAATTAAATATTTTACCGCATCAGATTTTTCCAAAAAAAAAATACACGTTTGATATCTTATATCGACTTTTATTTTACGTATGGCTTTGTGACACAACCTGTGAATGATATCCATATAAAGTCATGTTTTCCCAAGTAACTTTGACCAGCCATGACGCCTCAAAATCGTGGAAATCTGGAAACTGTATTCTTATCATTTCATTTGCTTTGTTCAGGAAAAGAGTATCTTCGGCATCCTTTCCCCTTAGAAAAATGTTTTAAGTTATTTACTTGTAAAACATTGATAAATGGTAAAACAAATACGTGTTGCAAAATATAGTAAAATACCTTTGGTAAGTGTTGTAGTAAATACCACTTGCTGTTCCTGTTGTTTGTAAATCGGTCCAAAAGGGACAAATAATTTGTCTATTTTTCAGTCTTGAGGAATGTAGAATATGTGCATTGAACCAGTTGAAGTCCTCTCCAAGTCCTATGACACCGTTTGAGCCAATCTAAAACAGACCATCAACTGATAAAAATCATGTCTACCGCCTCCGCATTACACATTTTATAATCTATTTTCACGATTTGATGAAAAAATTTATATTTATATTGGTTATGAGTCTTACAACTACGTAGTTGAATCCACGTTCTGATCCATCCATGGCATAGATTGTCATCGGAGATTTAAGATAAGGACTGGAGACATCATCACCGTAGAAAACATTATCTCTTTCTCCATAAGGCATATATGCATATCCTCCTTTAACTATTTTAATTATAAAGTAAACAGATTATATGATGTTTCACACAAAATAAAGTATTGTAGATACTCTCAGTCCCTCTTCTTCTTTTTAAAAATACTGTGAGTAAATAACTTTTACATAAACACCAAATTGGTATCATAAAAACACTTTTCCTAGAAAATAAAATTGTAGGATCAAATGAACATTTTAAAAATCTTGAATTAAAAAATAACTTTCTTTCTGGCTGAACCAATTTTAATGTAATAAGAAAAATATTGTTGTAGATGACAATTTATTATTTCATTTTTGATTTACTAATACAGAAATTCTGTTTCAGTTCATGTGTTAGAGATAAAAGAAAAAAATAGTATACGAAAAAAGATAATTTATGGTTGTATTAATTGAACCAGTGCCAAAATATGGTAGAACAAAATTAAGAAAAAAAACCTGCTCATTTGTTGACTTGTTTTCCTCCGTCAAGTAAAACGGATTTTAATAGCAAACATGTTTTCTTCCTTTTATAAACATGATCTGTAGAAGATAAACAAATTTATTTATTATCTTACTTTGATCTACCTCAATCCAGTCTATGTATGGTTTACTTTTAGCAGTTCCAAGCCAAGGTCCACCCATGATATCTCCATGACTGACTGCTGTAATTGTCACGTTGTACATCGCTCCTGGCACCAGACCCTTCCTCCAGTAGACCTCCGGATAGTTACCCAACGTCTGTTGTTCGTGACCATTGATGACAACCAGGTAGTGACTCAGAAAGGTGTTATCTGCAGGTTTCTTCCATTTTAAGTAAAGATGTTGAGAGGAAAAATTGCTTTTATCGCGATCCAATTTTCTAGGTGACAGAGGTTCTAGAAAGGTATTGGCGATATTTTAATAAAATCTTTCATGGTATGTATTCAAATTTTTATGCATACATTGTTTGTCTCGCCTCTTCCAAAATACCAGACTTGATCATTACTAAAGCACATGTAATTTATGTTGATCATACAATCTTGTGAGAAATCTTAGTCATGTAGAAACATATACTAACTGTTATTTTAATAAAATGCAACATTACATCTTACGAATACGTCATTTATATATTCCGCGGCTTAAAGGGCATTTGTTATTGAGTGTTAACAAAAATTATGTTCGTACGTAAAAACGTTATTGCTCCAAAACAATGCTAAAACCCAGGTTTCCTGTGATATTGAGTATTTTTCGCGTTTAAATCAAGATGCAAATATGTGTCGTTGGCTAAAACATCCAACATTTTTAATAATAGCGTTGAATTTGGACAGACAAATAACCAAGGTACGCTAGGTTTGTGATGTTCAAACAGATAAAACTATTGTAAAAATGATATAACATGATATGTGTACATTCCTTTGGAAATATCTTCAGAAAAGTTGGGCAAAATGCTATTTGAAAGCCAATACAATAAATTCCATTACATTCCAAAGCTTGTAAAACAATAATGCTAATAAAATCAACCATTTGGCTGCTCTTTTCGACAGAATACTTTTTTGTTATCTCAATTGTCCCTTTCTTAAACCGAAATCTGACCATTAATTAAGGTGTCCTGTTTTTGTACAACCTGGAGATGTTTTCCAAAGCCTTCCTTTAATTGAAAAGGATTTTTACATATGTATGTTGTGTTTGTATGTTTAACTTAAAAATTTATTAAAAACTAGACTCTTACTAGGCAATGATCTAAAGAAAATATCAATGTGATTTACATAAGAATGTGCACGAATGTTTTCCTTTAAAATAACTATATATATAAGAATTCACAATGTAGCTTCTTCACGCCTGTTTCTGCTGATATTACGGCAATGATGTTTTCCGTTATGTTGAATGGAAATATTGGTGATCCAATCGTATCGGTCCAGAGTTAGGGTTTGGGGACTTGATCAATTGATCAATTAGAATCTGCGCTATATCATTAGGTTTTAATATTAAATTTGTTCATTCAATTTGTTGTGAATTCGGCCACTTAAAACGTTTGCTGAATGTTTTTGTTTGTAGGGAGGTGACATGAAAATGAAAGGGGGAGGGGGTTTTCATGCATTTTAAGATTAATTTGGGTGCAGATAACATACACAAAATATTACAAACAAGATGTGTTTGTGAAACACTGTGCCCCCGGCGGCAACAAAGTTCGAAAAAGCTTTTCTTAGCATAAAGGTTACAGTCAAGGTCACAAGGTCATTGACCTCGGTGTCGTTTAAAAGCACTTGATTAGTGAAGTAGGCATACCAAATATAAAGTCTCTATCTCCTTTGGTTCAAAAGTTATACCGAAAGTTCGAAAAATCTATTTTTAGCATATAGGTCGCAGTCAAGGTCAAAAGGTCATTGTCCTTGGTGTCAGTTGAAAGTGCTTATTTAGTGGAGTATGCAAATATGAAGTCTCTATCTCGATCTGTTCAAAAGTTATGGCGAAGGTTAAAGTTGATAACAAATAGAATAAAAGTAGGTCAAACTCCAAGGTCAAGGTCAAGAGGTCAAATTTGGTGGTACCCAATGAAAGGTCATGTCACAAGTAACACACCTATGAATTATGAAAGCCATAGCCCCAACCACTCAATTGTTATGGGCTAGGTTAAAGTTGGGGGACAAACAAACAAACAAACAAACAGACAGACAGACAGACAGACAGACAGGACAAAAACAATATACCCCCGATCTTTCGATCCGGGGGCATAAAAATACCAACATATCACCTATTATTATATTAGGTGAATGTGTATCAACACTGATATTTTCAGCAGGATGTCTGAGCGAAACTTTCGATTGGATGTTAAATCTGTATAGGCGCCCTGGTTGTAGTTTACATGGGGTACTATATTCAGTTGCATTTCCCATATATTTTGTCTCCTCTGTCAACCATCTGTTCGATCTATGAGCCTGCAAATTGATCACATATCCAGAGATGAGATGACTGTCTTGTAACGGTTTTTCCCATTGCACTGATGTTTTACACTGTGTTTTCTGTACTCTTTGTATATTAACTTGCAATCTGCTACCTATAAAAGTATTTTAGAAAAGGCTTTATAAAATAAAAGAAAATATATTCATAAAAATTCTTTATATGTTATTTTTTTGTTAAAATGTTTATTTGTTTCCATTAAGACTCTGTAAATGTCCATAAATAAGCAGAATGAACATTGTGTTTCTTCCTATGCTGAGTGATTGGCCAATAAACACATTTTTACATTTTAGCCAGGCTACTGTATTATAATATTATGTATTTATTTCAATCAAATATTAGCCTGTGATTGAATCGTCGAAGAAGAAGCCTCTTGAACGTCAACAAAATTATACACAACAAAAAAATTCGTTCATAGCGAAATTCTATTTACAAAATAAGTTTTTGAATATACAAGTTTGCTTACGGTGATGGCAAATAGAGTTCTCGTGGTAATAGGAATCAGAACAAAGACAGATGTTGGATCGACACACGTAGTTTTTATTTGGTATACATTCACGACTCTCATTACATGACTCCAAAAACTTAAGACCTGTAATAAAGTTATTTCTTTAAAAATGAGGCATACAAAAGGTAATATATTTCTTTCTTATTTATTACTTTAATATCAAATGGATTATTGCTACATGAACATGAAAAACAAGTCACATCAACATATAACAGCATTTTTTAAAAATAATAAATGACTTCCTTTAAATTGATGCAATTTTAATGTTTCTCTGCATATGGCCATGACAGCCCTCATAATTGGATAATTGTGAAAAAAAGTTTATAAACTTGTTTAGGATTTCATATTGCTTATCTGATATACATTTTAAAATGCGCAGAAATTATAGGCATTATACAAAATATATGTACAATAAATCCCAGTTTATGATTAACTTAACCTTGTCTTAAACTATTTGCTTTATACTTTTTAAAGCGAAAGGTGTTCTCTTTTTTTTTATTAACTTAATGCCCTCTACATGTACTTATTTCTATCAGTAATTAAAAAATGAATTTAAATTAAATAGCAATCTAAATCCACTTTACGACTTGAACCTGAGGCAGGGCAAATGTAAAGTATTTTAATTAGTAAATTTTGGCATTCCAAAGTATCAAAGTGTTAAACCCTGGGGCATTTCTGTCTAGATTTTATAAAGAGGAAAGTACTATTTACAATGTTACAGACATGTTCACAGTATTTATATTTCAATATGTTATACTTTGTAAAATATTTTGATTAAGTAGACGCTGGACCCAAATAAATTTAAAAAGAGTAAGAGGTATAAAACCAACTGAGTTCATTGATACTGTTTGCATGTAAGATTTGGTAAGTAAAACAAAAATCAAAAATCTATTTAGTAAAGATAAATCAATTCTAATCCTAGGGCACAGACTTAAGTGTTTACTATAATAATTGAAACAGTCTGTATGGACTTTAGATCAATATGTTTGAAAAAAAACACATGATTTTTCACACGCGACAAAGTACATGTATGTTTCAACATAAACAAAAGACTATGGGGGAAATCATTTTCTTTACTCGATTTTTGGGGTGATTTTGATTACAATTTTTTTTCTCATAATTGTGCTGTTTATAAAGCAAATGAATAAGGAGAAGCTTTGATAAGTTTAAATGCATTTACAAAAATAACACCTTTCACAGTCCCCAGGATCATGAAACAGTCCTAGACTTAAATCAAATTTTCAAATCCCTGTAAAAAGTTTAATAATTATTGAATTCATCCCTAAATTTGCAGATAAAATTACTTTTGGAAAACAATGTGGTGAAATATATTAATTTAGGGAAACTTGGCTTTTAGAAAATTTAAATATAACATCAAGATTGTTACTTGAGCTTAAGATGTTTCATGATCCCAGGGTCAAATTCTTAATCTAAAAGGCATGTATTTCACAATGGATTCATTGTTTGTTGCTTTACATCTTGTTCAAGGCTTTTTAAGGGCAAAATATTTAATGTTTATTATGATTTTTCATTTGAATTTTAAATGATTAGGAGTTATTAAAAAGTATTAAGTTCAAGAAGATTGAATTAGTTTTAGGATTTGATCGAATGCCTCAGGCCCCAGAGAGGACGAGGTATGTGCATGATTTGAATGAAAGAGATCACATACTTCCATACAGAGTCATGTAAGCATAATCGCTTGTTCCCCATCCTTCGGAGTTGCGCGCCATGCAGTCATATTTGGATTTGTGTTCATTGTAAAAATCAACTCTGTTAATAACCAGATTAGGACTGTGCAGGTGAAGGGTACTTCCTTTATATCTGGAATCTGTTATGTTAATGTCCACACTATTTCTTCTCCATTTTATCTCCGTAGTTGGTGGAAATCCAGAAATATTTCGAACCGAGGCATTTATCGTAACACTTGAAAGAAATGGTATATCCAGACGTAGTGGCTTGAGATCTATTTTGGGAGTGCCTGTGTTTAAGAAAAAAATAAAATTGAATTAAAATGAATTTATAAAGTATTAAAAGACAATCTTATCCTATTTTGAATTTTATTTTAAAACAAAACCCGACGAGGAAATTTTACCCATAGAATGAATTCAATCATTTATGCATTTTAAAAGAATTCTATGAGAAAACATATGAATTAACAAACATTAAGTAGTAATTCTGTAAGTAGAATATTTTTATGAGTTGTACTACTCCTTTTCGTACTTAAAGTATATATGAACGACAAAGACAAATATTGAAAATGCTGGACTTTATCCTGAAAAGAAAAGTCCTTTTATATAGTTTATAACTACAATTTGAAGAGTGAGTGCACTTATGGACCTCCGGTAAAATCATTTTAAACATTTTATCCATATATTTTCATCTCAAATCACTAATTGTTATCTTTATTGTAAGAATCATTAAATTATATTGTGGAAATTCATGAATTTATAAACAGCAAAGCCGTTTACTGTTGTAGGGTCCAGCCGACAATCGTGGTTTTCTGTATATAAACCGAGTACGTTCTTTTGTTTACTGTCAGCCTAACATTTTGCAAGCTTGTGTAAATGACAAGAGGCACAATATTCATTAATTAAACCTGTATATAATTAGGGAACTTGTTCAAGATAAGGCTGGTACTTAAAATATGAAAAATATATGAAAAGTTCATTTTTTATAGCAAACGAAAGCTATTTGCCTGTATGTGCCAACCTCTGGAATAATTTTTAAAATACTTTTTTTAAATATAAGTTCTACCCAAGTTAACTTTTCTCAAAGGCGCTAACTGTAAAATATTTTTAAGTTTTGTATCATTATATAAATGTCGTTCCATTTACATATATTTAAATGAATTTGGCTCAAGGACAGATGATACAATCAATTTTGTTTTCTTTCGATGAGACTTTATATCATGTCAAAAGTGGACAATTTTCAATATATTTTTCCTAAGTTTCGTGCTAACAGTATGATATTGACTTTAAAAAAATAAACCATTCCAGGTGACTTTTATAAATGAGGAAATACAAAATGACAAAAAATTAGGCTGATTTTTACCATTTTGCTTTTCCCAATAAAATTCTCCTGGCTTAGTATATTTTTCTTAAGTTTATATAACACATTTAGCGACAAACTTATATATTCTAAATCTGTTCTGATCTGTAAACCTTTACTGAGTGTGTTTTGTCCGTATTTGTAATTTTATTGAAATATTACTAATATTTTCCAAGTCAATTCTATTTTTCAAGTCTAAGGAGAAAAAATTCTGAGAATTAACCACTTTTTTTAAACCTTTGAAATGATATTAAGTTTCCTCCAAAGAAAAACATTGTTTGTATCATTTGTCCTTAAGAAACACTGGAAACAAAGGGTAAAGAGAATCTATTGTAGTTGAAATGTCATCATACATGAAAGTTTCAAATATTTTTTTTTTCATTCACGCAAGACAATGGTACCGGTTTTCAAAACCATCAATATATCTCTTCTTCTTCTTTTTTTTTTTTTTTTTTTTTAAATAAAATGGAACTAATATTAATACTTTAAATCATATCTTTTTAAAATGCAAGCGCGCAACTTGTTATTTTGATCACCATATCAACTTCTTTCGATTTTTTTAATAGAAAAGTTGCAAACAAGTATCATTCGGCAAACACGCCCAAAATTGATACGTTTGTTCGTGTCTATTGAAATGCCTCCTCCCCTTGTTTTTTATAAACAAAAATTAAAGTAATTTCCTATTGACTTTTCATGATTTGGAAAATTTCTATACATTTAAAAATATTGACTTGTTTCAATTTAATTCCGATTTACGTCAAGTTTAATGATATTTTAATTAGAAATATTTAAAAGTATTTAGCTACTACCAAAAAGTGGAAGATTCGTTAAAACATTTTCAAGTAGGACGACACTGAAAATGGATCTTTAAGTGCTGCTCAGTTATTACTGCACTTACACAAAAGCGGATGGACAAAAAAGATATAATCTGCTTAATCAATACTTAAAATGTCAAAATCCTTAGTAAGTAAGTGAAATGGGTTAAACAGAAAATGTACTCACGCAGTGTTTCTATCTGTTCAATATATGGAACAGACGCTTTCTGAAAACTTTGAGGGTACCAGCAGATTGAAGTCAAACTGACATTGTAGTTTGTTCCAGGCTCTAGTTTAGATGTCCAGGAAATCCCATTTGAAGACGATGAATCAGTTCTTCCATTCACAGAAATGCTGTATCTGTTGACATGAGCCCCATGGTTTGGAGGGATCCATTTAAGGTATAGATGGTCTGGGTGTAGATTGCTTGTATTCTTTAAAATATGGCCTGGAGGCAAAGGATCTAAGAAAAAATTCTCACATATACACATTTGGGAATTCCTTTCTTCTGTTATAAAATAGTATCAATAGAAACACATTGAATTTGCATATAAGATGAATTGAGGAGCTAATAAAACATACGAAACCTACCAACAACCAAAGGTATTGTGTTTGTTACAGCTATTGTTTCCGTAGGGTCGCTAAGTAAAACGTTAGAGATGATTCGTAAATAATACAGATAACCAGGCAGAAAGTTAGAAGAAAAGGTGCAGTTTGTGTTATTCCCGACAGCTTCGGTCATGTTGAGAGTCAGCCCATTTTCTGTCAGTTCTGCAGTAAAGGACTGGATTAGGTGGGAGTCTACCTTAGGATGATTCCACCAGGTCGTGATTAAAGTTGTAGTAATCTCGGATCCTCTATATATTGCTCTTAAGTTGTTTCCTATATAAAATACATGTTTTCAAGCACTCTAGATCTAAATGATTTTGAGAGATTATATAACAAATGCTCGAGCACGATTGATAAATTTTAATCAAATTTATATACTTTTCTTGTGTTTTCCTAAATATTTCCTTTGCGAATTGACTAAATTAGTAGCAAATATAATGTCTGTGAAATACTCACTTGTATAACATGTGCGATTGCTGTGGTAAAAGCCACCCCTGCACATACATGAATTGTACTTTGGAGAGCAGAACAATGCCTTACTTCGATTGCATTCCTTTGTCATATTGCATTCATCATAAAACGTCAGTACTATAAAAATTAGAAACAAATTACCACACAATTAATCGTGATGAACGATTAAACAACTTGCATTTTTAATGATTATGTATAATCACACTTACTTCCTTTAACTTCTAGATTGACTACATTACTTTGGCACAGTCCCCCTACAATTTGAACTTGAAGTTGATAGTCTACGTCGTCTTGAAAATTCACATCATTGATCGTTAGTATTGGATACGGATACGTTCTACTTCCAGTATATTTGATCCTGTTGATATCAACGATTTCGGTTACATCTGATTTTATTTTCAGCCATTTTGACAGGAGAGCTCGATCAGAATACGACTCAACATAGCCAATAAATGAAGCGGAAGATCCGAAATATTCTGAGATAAACCCAGGAGTGACAATGATAAGGGGGCATCCTGTAAGCAGAAGAATAGCCATTTATTTCAGTAATACTAATGATTAGTATCCTCAATTTATTCACAATAGAGAAACCCTAAAATAATCAAAATAATATAAACTCATTATTCATATCAATACTTATATCTACATTTCAAAATGTTCCTCTCTGCATTGAATGAAATTGAGATTTCGCGGAATTACGACCCCGTGGAAAAAAGTACGTCTACAGTATCTAAGTCGATTTGAACGTAAGATTTTACAACTATCCACGAGAAGATAACTTATAAAATATGGCGAAATTTTCATGACTTGTTGCATAATGACTCTTTCTGTTGGTATGTATTTTGTTTAGTTTTATCACGCCACAAAACTATTTAGAAAGAAATTCTAGAATGTTTCGTCAATACTTATATATAATACTACATGTTAGTTTATACGTTGTGTAAGTATACGTGAATAATAAATCATAGACTGATTAATTGGTATAAATAATTATACTCGTCTGTTTGAAGATAGAATTCAACTGATACCCGTATCCCGACTAAATTTAACGAATATATTACTTACTAGTTATATTGGCGGTGACCATCAGTTCAGTTGTTGTCATTGTTGCTACAGCTTCCGCTAAAGCTGTGGTTTCTCTTGATGTTAAAGTCGTTTGATTTTGTTCTTGTGTTTGTTCTGTTTTTTTGTCGAAGATTTTGTTTCCATTTTTTTCGTTTGCATACGCCAGACCGTTCCATGAAGCAAATAAGACAATAAACAGATAAACAATCTCTTTTAATGTTTTAAGCCGTGCCATGTTCCCCTTAACAATGTTAAACAGCAGTTTGATGTGTACACATATCTGAAAGTAGGATTCTTTATATTAGATAAACAAGACATTGACATTAAAACATGAATTGATGAAAATGTTGAATTGAAATGAATATACGTTTGATACATATGTATTTCTGACCGGTTTTTAGAAAATGACATAAATGACATGTCAAGTAATCTTCATAGGTTTCCTTTGATGCTTATTATTATTTGCTTCTTTTTTTCTTTTTTATGTAATTCTATGGAGTTTTTTGCACCTATTTTCTTTTTTAAACATTTTTGACAAAATTTCTAAAAGTTCTTCAACTTTACGTGGCATCAAACATTATTCAGGCTACATACATGAATATAAAAATTAATTATATGAGAAAAATTGCCGATCTCTGAAAGAAAAAAAGTTGTTTGTATTATTTAACCTTAAACGCATTTGTCGAATGAGCCTGAACCCCTTATTTTTCTTTTCTTGAGAATCAAACTGATCGTCAAAGACATTGAATATTTTTCGTTATACAAAATTTATTCACATAAAAAGTCTCATTTTTCATTCAAAATATTTCTCAGTTTTACATCATTGACATAGCTTTGAATAGTTACGATTGAATACAGAATTTCATTGTTCTATTAAACAGAAAATAGAATATAAGAATTATATAAACACCCTTACTTTTCCATTTATAAAAGTTGGTTTTATTTCGATGAAAAATTATTTTATTTTCCAATATTTTTACCAACAATCACACAGCTTCTTCGTCTTTTTGAATAACTAAGGTTATCATCGAAAATCTTAATTGAAGAATTATAATAAAGCATTGTAATTTATTTTTTTATATGAAAGTGCGAGCAATGATATGTATTTTTCATCTATTTATTTACTTATTTATTTATAATTGTTTTATTATTGTTTGCTCAAATATATTTAGACTACAACAGTTGTACTTTTTAGAAACGTTAGAAATAATGGAAAGACTAGTATATTTAAAATATTTTCTATGATATTCCATGAGTATTTTTATGTACAAACATTTCCACATTTTATGTGTCTTCTATATTGAAAAGTACATTTGCCTACGTGACAGTCACCTCTGTAGTCTATTGAAATAGTTTATTGGAAGATGCTATCATTTAAAGAATCCATCAATATTGTCCTTTTTTATTTTAACCTTTACACTTATCTAAAATTGGGAGTTTAAATAATTGTTAAACTTCAAATGAGCCATGGGGAGTTTTTGTTCTTGATCTTTACCTAGTATTCGTTATAACATCTTCAATGTACAGAGGGTCCTTTGAATGTTTTGTTTCTTTTATGTATAGAAGAATCTTTATGAATTTTAAAACGTGACAGGTATAGTTTTTGGTTTTGTTTAAATGACCTTTAAAAGAAATATATTGTAGAGGTACTGGGGTCTAATATTTTCATTCTGATTACGTGTGTCGATACAAAAAATACTGACAACATTGGCATATTTTCCAACACAGTTAACTTGTACTGCATTTATACTTAAACAAATAAACCATTAATTAATTCAATTTAATGATAAATGTATCTATAAAACACTTTATAGAGTAAAAATGGATGTTTCATATTTAGAATAAAAATTATTTGATTTGATTTCATTTTCTTTTTCTCTATTATTCTTTATTGACTTGATTATTTGTTAAATAAATTGTTTGCTGATGAGGAATCTTGATATATGTAGTATCAATGCTCATAGTGTGAATAGATTTTCATTTATAAAATTAATAAAAAGAAAAATATCACAAATTTAAATGCATGTTTAATATAAATAAATTATTAGGTTACATTCCAATTGTCAAACATAAGCCCATGAGTACACTGTATATTCTTTGCAAAGTTAAAATAATTGTTTAATTTTCATAAAAGAAAAAATATTTTCCTTTTTTAAAAAAAATAGATATTTTCTTTAAAAAGAAAATACGATGGCTGTTCAATAAATAATGTTATCGGTGCTCGGTAAGACACCCCCCCCCCCAAAAAAAAGCTTTTCATTGATTTAGTCTTAATGATTTCATTAAAATATTCTCTTTAAATTACATCATCTGTCCGTAACATTTTTATTCACTTTCTAATTGGTTTTAAGTATGGCCCTTGATATACTGGAATATGGCAGATCGTATGATTTCCTGTACTTGTTTTTTTTTCTTTCTAAAAAAACGTTTATCCAGTTTGGAAAATGAAACAAGTCAAAAGTTGAAAGATCTGGCTAATATTGTTGGTATGACAAAACATTAACTTTTTAATGCCTGTGAGTTAAGACGCTGTCATGAAGAAATGTAATGTAGTGGATTCCTGATTCTGGTTCCTTCCTATCATAAATCTTTTGTTTTTTTTTTTGGCAAATTTTTCCTTTGTAAGCTTCTCCAAAAATTGAACTGCATCCCAGAACAAGACTACTAATATTTAAGAAAATAGCATATAAAAGTATGTTTTTGTGCTCTTGCAATTCATTGCTCTTCTTAGGCCTTTGATGTTTTGTCAAGTGCATCTTATTGTAAATTCGTTTTAAGGGTTTAAAGAAATAGATTCAAGTTTCATAATCTGTTTGATTTTCAGACAAACGTGGATAAGTAGAAATTTTGATTTAATAAAAAAATATTTAGGTATCCGTACACGCTTTCCTTTTCACTCATTTTTCAAAATATAGGATGACATTTGAAGCTTTTTTTCACTGTCAAATGTTTCTTTAACACATTGTAAATTACCCCCAAAATGATGCCTATCAAATTTGCTAAATGTCTTAAAGTCGACGAGACAAAATCAGTAATAATTTTTTGAATCTATGCGAATAGTACCTTGGTTTTTGTAAGTCCTTGTTGCCAAGAATTTCTTTGCCCATAAATTCATTTTTGCTTATTGAAATCCACTTTCTCATGTGTGTATAATACGGACATTAATTGCTATAAATTTCCCATATTTCAGTTGATATTTCTTTGGGATTCTTAACAAGTTTTACAGCAGCCTTAATGAAGCGTTTTATTTTACTCTAGTATACTGATTCTTTACAATTCATTTTTAATTAAGTGTCTCGAATACCCCTTGTTTTTAAAATTCCCACAATGAAACTATGTGATGAAAAATGGTCACATAAACTGTTATCAATTCATTAAAGATTCAATCATGAGAGAAAGTCAAGCTTAATGTTATATGATTTCTATATTGTGTGTAATCGAGCTAGTGACATTATTTATTGAAGAGTCCTCGTATCAGCGTTAATAAGTTTTGGAACATCATGTACAATAAACCCAAGGTACAAAGGTGTCCTTTTATAAGCACTGGGAATTTTTATTTTGCATTGAATATAGCGCTAGCCATAAAATTGAATATGAAGATAAAGAACAGTAATTAATCCTAAATGTTCAGTAAAACAATTTAAATCTAAAATAGAAACACAGGACTAACACAAAATTTTAAAAAACGCATTTGCCATGGAGGAATCCCCTGTAAACCAATTACATCAACTGTATGCTCCTTGTCATGATCAATCACACAGAAAATCTGTAGAAAATTTCGTGTGTAAATTATCGACTTCAATTTGTCAGCATTTGTCTGAACAAAAAATTGAATTTGCTGAAAGTTCTTGATATACATATGTACCAATAGAACTTTAAAAACTTGACTTCAAACAAAAGTGTTTATATCCTTGTTTCACCAACTTGTGTGTTAATTAATGATATTTTTAAGTAAAGTCATTGTGGAAATGACCACTGATGAGGCAAATACATTACTGAGTTCTGTAATAATTGAGACGCTGTTGTTGATGTCTACAAAACATGGATTTTAAATGATCGAGAAGAATGGTAAGATAAATCATTTAAAAAGTCGTATGCTTTGATGATATCGACCTAAGTAAAGGTCTGTGATTTCAAATATTTTTTAAAAAATATCCTAGATGTTTTTGAGCATCCACATTTCTCTCAGAAGCCAAAAAGCATTATGATGATGCAATTGTATGCTTGAATTTAGGATAGGGGATGTAAACAAAAATGTATTCAATGATTGGTATTCATTTTTTAAAATTTTGTTTTGGTTATAAATGATGTGCGTAGGAAATTTCTAGAACAATAACATTAAATAAACTTTTTTGATGTTCAAAATCTAACATTTTTGCAACGTTCCTCATTAATTTATACAGTGTACAATTTTTTGTCACAAAAATCGAAAAAATTATGAAATTTTGGAAAAGTTTTGCGGTTAAAATATATTTGATTTATTCATTTTACTCAAATAAATATAATTTTGTTATTTTCAAGATTTCTTTTATAAAAATGTGTTTGTATCAGCTGGATTTAAAGAATTCAGGGCGAGATATGGTATTAATTTGATAATATTCGATTCAATCTGCTGAAATTCAATTTATGCACCAACACATGTATATTGATACACATTGGGTCAAGAATTATTACTTCATATATTTTTATATCGACTGTTTGCTTCTGCATTTTTTCTTATCATATCAGTGTATGCGCCTTTTAAATTCAGATATAAGCATGTAATACGATCGACAATCTGGCGTCAAAATCAACACATATAACCTTTATTATCATTTAAATCTAGATTTCAAACCTCACATGCAATCATCAAATTGTTCATATGTATAGATCTGAAATGCATGTTTATAATTATTACCGATTAAATCTAAATAAGGCATTTGTTTGCTATGAAAGAAAAGCCAGCTTGGGATATTTTGTAACTTATAAATCGCATGAAATCTACACCATTATGTGGGGACATAGGCAACATAACTGCAGTAAAAAATGCTAAATTTAATTTCATATACAGTAGCAAGCTCAATATTTATTATGAAAATAATACAGGCCCAATTATAAATAAAACTAGAGGTACTGTGAGCAATAAGCTCACTAAATGATACCCCGCCTCCCATATGAATATAATAGCAGTGTAGTGTCCATGTTTTGCTCTGGAAAATTCAAAATATATGTCAGATCAAAAAGTAAAATAGGAGG